ACATCAAGGTACAAAGTTGATTTTTGATACAAAGGATATCATGAACTTCCATATCCAACCGAATTCAGACATCCATGTTTGGATCAAAACGAGGTTGAAATGAACAATTCAAGGTCAAAGGTCTGATTAACATATTTGGCAAGAGCACAAAGAGAGCTTTCAATCTTACTTTTTACTGTAGCATTAAAATTTTTTTTAAATGTATTGGTAATTTTATGTCATTGGTTTCCCTGGAAGCTATTTCAAGTTAAATATTTGAATATCTCTCACATAAAAAGTTTGATCTAGAGATGCAAAACTTGGATAAATCATGTATTTCTATGTCAACAGCAACCCTGCCAACTACTATCAAAATTGGAATAGGTCAGTGATTGATTTGAAATGAACTGATTAACCCAAGTATTTTCTAAGTTTCAGTAATTTGTTTATATATATCTAATGTCAGAAAAAAAAAACAACAACAAGGGGTATCAGTATACCCTTGTCATGTCAGGAAAGAGTTAAAAACAAAATCTACTAATAATATAAAAGAGTAATAGAAACTTTATTTGAAACAACCTTAAGTTAAACTACTCACAGTTGGAGCACATCTCCATTGGAAGTGATGTTTCATTTCCCTGTCAAAATAATAAATTACAATTCAATTTTAAAATCTAAAAATCTTGTTTTCAAGATATTTTAGGCACATCGCTGGTGTTGAATACTCTATAAAATACATCTGCCTGGAGTTTAGAAAGTGAGAAATGAAATTTCTTTACTGTTTTTACTCATTTTATCATAAAACAGCATAAAAGACAATACAAATTCTATTACCAATAAAGCTAATTTACACTGCTTCATTATGAGGTTAAACATACAAATATTACTTATTTTCTTCAAAGCACTTTTTGTTTCTTTTAGCAGAAATTTTGTTAGGAATGCGATGCATGTGTAAAATGTGAAAACACAAATTCAAAATTACACTATTGTGCTTCTAACTAATTCCTTAGTTTATCTGTATAGCAGGAACATGAACAAGTTCCAAGATACAAGTACAAGCAACTTGAATTGTATGGCTTAATTCTTTCAGCATGGGCTCGGTTTCTGGGACCAACCTCATAACCATTTTGTGCTTGTTATAGTATTTATGCTATAACTTTTTAATTAGTAAGCGTATTTTCACAAAATTTGGCAGATTATCAGTAAACATTGCAAGGCTTTCATATGAAAAATATCAGATTTTTTTATTCAGTCTTAAGGTTTGTTTAGCAGTGATTTTTTCATGCTTTTTTCATTTTGCATGTTGGATAGACAACATGCAAAGTAATTTTCATTTTAAGATTAAAAATACTTTTATGCATAAAAAAAATGCCAAATTTCACATGCAAAATCTTTATAACAACCAGACAGTTATCAAATGTTTCTTCAGAAAAAACTTTATATTTTATCTATTATTTTCACTAATGAATCTCTGTATGGGTTCG